CAAAATTTCCAAAAAATTCCTGAAAAATTCCCAGAAAATCCCTGGAAAATTCCTAAAAAATTCCCCAAAAATTCCCAGATAATCCCTGGAGAATCCCTAAAAAATTCCAAAAAAATTCCCATAAAAACCCCCAAAAATTCCCAAAAAATTCCTGGAAAATTCCCAGAAAATCCCTGGCGAATTCCTAAAAAATTCCTCTAAAATTCCCATTAAAACCCCCCAAAATTCCCAAAAAATCCTCAAAAAATTCCTGGAAAATTCCTAAAAAATTCCCAAAAAATTCTCAAAAAATTCCTGAAAAATTCCCAGAAAATCCCTGGAAAATTCCCAAAAAATTCCCAAAAAAATTCCCAGAAAATCCCTGGAAAATCCCTAAAAAACTCCCCCTAAAATTCCCATAAAAACCCCCCAAAATTCCCCAAAAAAATTCCTGAAAAATTCCCAGAAAATCCCTGGAAAATTCCTAAAAAATTCCCCCAAAATTCCCAGATAATCCCTGGAGAATCCCTAAAAAATTCCAAAAAAATTCCCATAAAAGCCCCCCCCAAATTCCCAAACAATTCCTGGAAAATTCCCAGAAAATCCCTGGAAAATTCCTAAAAAATTCCCAAAAAATTCTCAAAAAATTCCTGAAAAATTCCCAGAAAATCCCTGGAAAATTCCTAAAAAATTCCCCCCAAATTCCCAGATAATCCCTGGAGAATCCCTAAAAAATTCCAAAAAAAATCCCATAAAAACCCCCAAAAATTCCCAAAAAATTCCTGGAAAATTCCCAGAAAATCCCTGGCGAATTCCTAAAAAATTCCTCTAAAATTCCCATTAAAACCCCCCAAAATTCCCAAAAAATCCTCAAAAAATTCCTGGAAAATTCCTAAAAAATTCCCAAAAAATTCTCAAAAAATTCCTGAAAAATTCCCAGAAAATCCCTGGAAAATTCCTAAAAAATTCCCAAAAAATTCTCAAAAAATTCCCAAAAAATTCCCAGAAAATCCCTGGAGAATCCCTAAAAAACTCCCCCTAAAATTCCCATAAAAACCCCCCAAAATTCCCCAAAAAAATTCCCGAAAAGTCCCCAAATTCCCGGCAAATTCCCCGAATTCCCGGGAATTGCCCCAACTCACCAGGAGCCTCACGAGCAGCGCTTGAGGAGACGGAAGATTCCCTGGAAAAGACGGAAAATCGGGATAACCCCTCCCCCACCCCGCGGAATCCGGAATTCCCGAGCTTTTCCCGGGATTTACCGCGGCGCTCCGGGCTTTTTTCCGGAGGCTCTTCCCGGATTTTCCCGGCCAGGAAAGCGAGGCTGCGGCACAGCGGGGTCAGGGCTGGGCTGAAAGGAGCCGGGAGCAGAAATTC